GACCATCCAGCCTCTGTTTAAAAGCCTCCAAAGGAGCCTTGTGTGTGTGTGTGTGTGTATGCAAATTTAAGTCACCTGTTGACTTGTAATGAACATGTATTTCATAGTTTTCTTTGGCAAGGAATATGCCAATGGTTTTGCCAGTTTCTTCTTCTGAAATACAGCTGACAACACAATATATTTTCTGGCAGTCCCCCAGCCAAATACTCACTGGGGTGAGCTTTCAGTATCTCCTTAGCTTTCAAGATCTGACAGCGTTGGATACCTTTAGGACACTGTTTCTCAAACTCTGCTCCTCCAGATGTTCTGGACTTCAGCTCCCAGAAATCCCAGCCATCTTACCAGCTGTTAAGAATTGTGGAAGCTTAAGTCCAAAACATTTGGAGGAGGACAGTTTGAGAACCAGTTTCAGGGTATTAAAGCGCATATATAGATATAGATATAAACACAGAGATATATACACATGGACACATCTCCTCTGTTGTTTAAATACACAACTGCCATGCACTGAGATTGTGGCGCAGCTGGCTAGGAGTCAGCTGCATTAAGAGCACTACTGACCAAAAGGTCATGAGTTCAAAGCCAGCCCAGGTCAGAGTGAGCTTCCGACCAATTTTTGTAGCTTGCTGTCGACCTTTGCAGCCCGAAAAACAGTTGCATCTGTCAAGTAGGAAATGTAGGTACCAGTTATGCGGGGAGGCTAATTTACGATGCCATAAAAATCTCCAGCAAGCATGCAAAGAATGAGGAAGTACTTCATCAATGTCACAAATGGACGGTGAAGTGACAGCTCCCCTGGTGGCCAGAATACCCTCATGAAAGCTGGAAAGTTAAATAGCCTCTGTGTGTCTGTCTATATATCTTGTGTGTCTATGGTGTTGAATGTTTGCCATGTATATGTACATTGTAATCCGTCCTGTGTCCCCTGTGGGGTGAGAAGGGCAGATTACTGCCAATCAATCAATCAATCAGACAAGAGCTGCTGCTTTCGGGTATTTAGGCCCTGAGGGCTGTGAATAGAGGATAGTCATGTTTATATGAGTCCAAAAGCAGCTACTTGAAGTGAAAATAAATTTGGTTAACCAGCAGGTGTATTCATTTTTTCCTACAGTTAATAAGAATATTACTATGAAAAGAATACGAGAAAAAAAATCTTCAAATATGTATTAGAGTGACATATGGAAAAGATCCCAAAAACGTCAACTTTGAAACAGGAAGTGCAAATCTCACCACAGTTACAGACTAAGTGGCTCCAAACATCTCATAATACAAATGCTGAGGCCTGAAATAGCCAACAGGCCTGAACCAGCAGTCAGCATCTGTACAGTGATTTAAGGTCACAAAGTGAATGAAGAATGTAATATACAGTAGGCTTCTAATCATATTTGGTAAGGAGTTATTTTTAATTCTCTCTACATGAAAGAATTGCCCCTTGAAAGACTGGAAGCAGGAGATAATGGAATGGTCCGATCTATCCTTCCCACCATCCATTTGGTTTCCAAAATGAGAATTAGAGTGATAATTAAATATGTGTGATCTGAAGAAAATCTTGATCACATAGTTTGTCTCTTATTTCTTAGTCTATGCATCCGTTGCAAAGGTTGCCAGCTTCCTGTTTGATTGTTTCCAGTCATTATCTGTGCGTTCCTATCCACGCCCAGGGTAGCAGTTTGAGTTTAGCAATGATGACTAAATGTTTATAGCAACCAGAATTTCCACAAAACCTCTAAAATAATGACATATAAAGAGTTTCCTGTTCATGTTCTCTCCCTCTGTCAAGTTCTAGGGTTGCAAACAGATTGCTAGTTTGGTTTCTCTGGCAAAACGTTGCCACGTCCTTCTGTGAACTGGATAGCAGATGTTCACTGCGTTCAACAGACTTCCGTCCGGTTGGCCTCAACCTTTCTTTCAATTAACAATGCCGTTGTAAGGTTTCTGGACACATCTCTACTGGGAGTTTCAAGCTATTGAAGAAGTCATAGTCAAAAGGCACTTCGAGTATCGAAGACCATGAAGACTTGCTTCTGATTAAACAAACGTGCATTAGATTACTCTGTAATGACATGCCTTTTATCTTCTTAAGCAATAAATGTAGTTTGATAGATTTTTAATGGTTTTATTGGTTTGACCATGTATTTTTAATAGGGCTATATTTCATTCTATTTTAATATTTATATGCTTTCGGTTTTAATTTACAGTTAGGATTTTGTGTTAGCCACTTTGAGTGGAGTAAAACTCCTGTATTCCTCATCATTAGACTTCATGACTAGAGCTAATGGGAGTTGTGATACAGTAACATCCGGAAATCTGCAGTTTGTTGTGTTTAGTTGGGACAATGGGGTGTGAATTTAGATGCAAGGCTTGTGGGTGTGATGTCTGCCATTAAAATAATATTTCCCCAACCTCAGAACCACAAGAGCCCTTGGGTTGCAATTCTCATTATCCCCAATCTGCATGACAGATGATTAAAAGTGATTGGAGTTGTCATTCAATAACATCTGGGGAACCAAATTTGGTAAAAGCTAAAGTGCATCAACCACTATGTAAAAAAATTATAGTTGGCCCTCTATATGCACGGATTCTCCATCCATGTATTCAATGATCCTTTGAAGAAAACCATAAGGCTGATGTGGCCCTCCATGAAAATGAGTTTGACACCTCTGATCTAATCCATTTACATCCACCACATTATTCTTTTTGCACTCTGGTTCAAGGCCTTACTGCTTGATTCTTTGGAGTTCTCTTTACTGTATGTTCACCAGCTAGAGCCCTTAAACCCTTGTGCTGGCAGGACCGCTGACCAAAAGATTGGTGATTCGAATCCAGGGAGCAGGATGAGCTCCCATCTATCAGCTCCAGCTTCTCGTGTGGGGACATGAGAGAAGCCTCCCACAGGATGGTAAAACATCTGGGTGTCCCCTGGGCAACGTCCTTGCAAACGGCCAACTCTCTCACACCAGAAGCGACTTCCAGTTTCGCAAGCACTAATAAGATTGTCTTAAGCACTGTCGCAAAGGGACACACAAAACCAGCCTGGGTGAAAGGAAGACTGAACAGTTGGGTGGTTTGAAGAGGAAGTTGCAGAATGAGAGGCCTGTGGTCTTAAAATAGAAAAGAATAGGGAGCAGCTAAAACAGAAAGTATAACAATCCCTGAAAATACCAGAAGCAACACACTCTTGAAGAAATGGAATACTACTTAATGAAGTTATAACAAGAGTAGAGGCAAAAGAGGGGAGAACGTGAACAAAAGAAATGCTTTGAACTGGAAAGTATGTTGGAAAGAAATCCAAAAAGGTTGATATAACATATGCTGTCCATCCACTCTTTAAAAAACAATTAAGGAGCAAAATCTGTTTATTGTTTATCTTTCTATTACACAAGGGACAGAGCAAGAGCTGCACTAGAAAAAGAAGACCCCAATCCCTTAGGAAAGGAAAGAGGATAGGGTTGCTGTGAGTTTTCTGGGCTGCATGGCCATGTTCCAGAAGAATTTATAACAAGAAGATTGGTTTCACTTAAATTTTCACGCTACTATGCTAGAGAGCAAAGAACGCTTTTCCTAGAAGACTAGTTTGTGATTCTCATAAAGAAGAAGACTGCTGAGTGCATGGAAAATGCAAGATCCTCTTGTAGAAATATAATGTCAAAGGAAGGCAGAAGGAATATGTACAAGAGAAAAATAAATATGCCTTTCTGGAATGTTTGAGACACATTTTTGATTATAGCTTTGAGTCTTTGCAGTAAAAATGGGATCAAGATTGAATCAAAAATTTACTACAGTTTCAAATTATCTTAATTATGCCAGGAATTATTTTTTTTCAAACCATTTCCACCATTCTTTGGCACCAAGCTTTAACACAGCATCCACAGCACATCAAATCAGATTCACAACCCCACCATGTGCTGCCCACTTTATTCACAAAAAGTGGGCAGAACACAGATATCTCAGTAAGGTCGACTTGTGTGCTTAACACTGGGATATCACCATCTCTTGTCTGTGTAATTTGTGTGTATGTGTTAATGTAGATGTGTTTTGTGTGTTTGTTTCTGATTTAGTTTTGTAGTTTGTTGTAGTGGCTAGTAAGTTATCTGCATACTGTATTATATATGATTTTTAAAAATCTGCTTTTCAAATTATTGCTTTTTTACTATTTTTTCTTTTGAATTAAAATTACTTATATAAATAAGAAAAGAATGAGATACTTGTAATACCAATGCATTGAGGAAGGAGGAGGAGGAGGTAGTGGTGGAGGAGGAGGAGATGGAGGAAGAGGAGGGAGGAGGAGGAGGAGGAGGTGGTGGTGGAGGAGAGGAGGAGGTGGTGGTGGTGGGTGGAGGAGGAGGAAGAGGAGGAGGTGTGGTGGAGGAGAAGGTGGTGGTGGTGGGAGGAGGAGAGGGGAGGGGGGGAGGGGAGGAGGAGGAGGTGGTGGAGGAGGAGGGGGTGGAGGAGGAGGAGGTGGTGGTGGAGGAGGAGGAGGAGGTGGTGGTGGAGGAGGTGGTGGTGGTGGAGGAGGAAGAGGTGGTGGAGGAGGTGGTGGAGGAGGAAGAGGAGGAGGAGGTGGTGGAAGAGGAGAGGAGGTGGTGGTGGAGGAGGGAGAGGAGGATGGTGAGGATGTCAGTGGTGGGGAGGAAGAGGAGGAGGAGGTGGTGGAGGAGGAAGAGGAGGAGGTGGTGGTGGAAGAGGAGGAGGTGGTGGTGTGGTGATGGAGGAGGAGGTGTTGGTGGTGGAGTTGGTGGAGGAAGAGAAGAGGAGGAGGAGGAGGAAGAGGAGGAGGAAAGGAAGGAAGAAAGAAAGGAAAAGAAAGAAGGTAAGTACGGTAAGTGAGTGAAGGAGACAAAAAGAAAAGAAATTATCATCTCTCTGGAAGTCTCAGTGAATGCAGCAGCAGCAAATATTCCTTCTACTGTGAATTCCTAAGGGAGTCCACAAACGACTTCTAAGAGAAATTCCATGACTTTCTCAAGGAGCTTCAGTAAATACTCACACATTCTTTGGACTGACGTTTTAAACTCAAGCTTTTATTACTGAGACAAAATCGCCACTATGGAGCAAAGGGTCTACAAGAAGGCTTAGTTTTCTCTGGCTGAAACTCATTTCCAGGAAGCTTCCCATGCTATTATTAGCAACCATTTCCTGATCTCCACCCCATAATATTTCTCAACTGGCCCAGAACAGTAAATCTTCCAACATTTAGAATCACACCTCTTCAGAAAGCACTTATAATATACTAGCTCACTACTGGAGGGGGGGGGGAGGGGAGCACATTTTGGTTACACTGCTTTTAAAGCTGCCAGGATCCACAGCAAACTTTCCAGTCCTAAAGAGAAAAAGAGAACACGGTGAGCAAAGGAAAACACATCTTCACCCCAAAACATCTTGCATCAAATCTCTCCTCACTCATTTAGTGAAGTTGAGCCAGTTACCTGAGCTTCATTTGAATGTGTGGCTTTCAGCACCTCCACGGCCAAAACCTGAAAGAAAAGAAAAGTTTGGAAAATAATTAGACACTCCTTTGTATCCCTGAAGCACCACAAGAAACAGAATATCTTTGTACTCCAGTGTCCTAGGTAGCAATTTCTTCTGGGTTAGGCAAATTCAGAGATTGTGATGCTGTTGATACCACCTCCCTTTACAGTATTCTTCAGGAATATAAATAGAGAGAAAATCTGCATATAGAATGACTCTGACTAATTGAGAAAGCCAATTTATTTATTTATTTATTAACTACATTTCTATTCTGCTTTTCTCACCCCTCAGGGGACTCAAAGCAGTTTACAACATAATAAATGGCAAATTCAGTGCCTCACATATATATAAAATATCACATATCTAATTTAATAACATATAACTGTAGATTAAAACTATAAAAACATCAAACATAGACATAAGCATGAAACATATTATTGCTGCTATTAACAACACAGATCCCTTCTTTCAATGTACCAGATCCCATCTGACACTGGAAGATTAGACTTAGCCCTGCTTAGTTTGCATGTGAGAATGCTAATGAATACCAACAGTTGTGGTAGCCTTTGTTACAGAGCAAGAAACTGACCAAGCAAGGAACTGATTATTTCTTGCAGAAGGAAACCTTATGAAATTAATTGTGTCACCCACCATATGTGTCTTTTCCCTTGTTACAGGTTAGGTAGATAGTTGATGGGAATAAGCAGCATCTTTAGACATGAAGCCTTAGACCAGGGGTCCCCAAACTAAGGCCTGCAGGCAACATGCAACCCCCCAAGGGCTGGTGAAAATCCAGATAACGTATTTTCAGAGAAACATCCAGCTGAGGCATAATTTGTGAGAGCGCAACATTGTACAGTAGCAAACTGCTGCTGTACTTCTGGATGTAATTTTGCGCTTGGGTTACAGAATCTTAGAAGAATCAAGTGTCTCTCAATACCCAGCACCCTACTCCCTCCTTGCTGTAATCCTACCTTTGGGTCCAAACAAAGCAGCATAGCAGGGGTGGTTACAGTATGGCTTCCCATCATGCTGTAGAGACAATGCAAACATCTCAGAGGAGGCATTAACAACAGAACATCTGATATTCACTGTTCTTGGGTGATTGGAGAGAATGCAAACTCTAGAAAGGTAAAGGGAATGCAGAATGTCCTGCTATATATTGTGAACGAAAGAGCTACCTGTTCACCCCATGACTTCCTCTTAAATGAGTTTGCTCTGGAGCTGCTGATCTCTCTTTTCCAGCTCTTCGGATACCCATTAACCTCGCAACCTTTATGGCCAAAATTATTCAACAGAGAAACACTTTCCATGCGCCTCTTTCCCTCCCATGGGTACATATGCTGATTTCCAATAGGGAAATGTTTAAATTACCACAGAAGAGAAGATCATGGACAAATCAGAAACACTGTAAGTGCTCTGAAGAACTGCATAGAAATGGGCTGTTAAATATACAGATAATTCTCATAAATGTATGTCATTAATGACATTCAAAGTTATATTTTTATCGAGTAATTGGTGACTCACCCATCAGACAGATAGTTGATAAAGTCCCACTAAATAAACATCATGCAAGAATTTTTAAGGCAGTTTGTCTGTTCCAGCATCAGAAAATGCGTCTTGCCACATTTCTGCAACTAAAAGTTTTACTTTTTTGAAGGATTTGATTATATAATCCAAGGAAGTTTGCATTAGCATAAAAATGTGCTAGAATAAAACTGGAAGTGAGGACATCTACCCCTAGGAAGGAAATTTGCTCCTGAAAGAGTTATCATAAGAAAAAGGTATCTCCACTGAAGCTTTATCAGCAATCCTTACAGAAGCCCCTGGTGGTTTCTATAAGTGCCGGCAGGGCTGAAGACCAACAGGTCAGAGGTTCAAATCCGGGGAGAGTGCGGATGAGCTCCCTCTGTCAGCTCCAGCTCCCCATGCAGGGACATGAGAGAAGCCTCCCACAAGGATGGTAAAACATCAAAACATCCAGGCATCCCCTGGGCAATGTCCTTACAGACAGCCAAGTCTCTCACCCCAGAAACGACTTGCAATTTCTCAAGTCACTCCTTATTTCTAAAACAAGCCAATTTTTTCAAATTCCAATCACAGGGACAGAAAGTGAGGTGACATTTCCCTGTGCTATTCAAAACATATGTGTGTGTGTGTGTGGCTGGAATTACATTTTTAATTTTTTTTGTTCCAACTTACATATACACTCAACTTAGGAAGATACCTACAGAATGTGACTCATAACCCAGGGACTAACTGAACAATATTAGGCACTTACCTCTGCATGGCCACCAGAAGACAGGGTCTTGTTGCATTTTTCACACTTCAGGCATGGTCGATGCCAGTCCTTCCCCAGGGAGGTGACTTTTTCAGCTACCATGGCAAGAACATAAGTTAGTAACAATGTTGCAAAAACTTACAGAAAATAAAATTCCCCATCCCCAATCCATCCTTTTAATGCTCTCCGTCACTATCTAAGCCTTCAGTGAAAGGAAAGATGGGCATTTTCTCTCTGGCAACCCTCCTGTACTGCAACATTTTGGAATTTATTGTGACCTGCTTGTTCAAATGCACATTGAGTGAGTGTCTGTGGTCATTTGGACACATCTGACACTGGAAATAACTGAAATAATTCTTCAGGCAAAGGACCCCACTATGATTTGAAAATTCTTCTCCTTCTGTATATAGTCCTGGGCATAAAGGGAATTTTAATGATAATACAAAGGGTGTGATTTTGATGAGTTTCTCTCAGAAGTTACAGTTCACAAATATTTACCAAGGGAGATGGGTTAGAATTTTTTTTTACAGAAAACCTTTTAATGTAGTCACAGTATTTGGAATGAACCTTGGGATGCATTAAGACAGTTGTGCCAACACACTGCACAATCAGGGACACACCCTTGACACATGTGACCCAGTGTGATATCATTCTGGAGATTCCTTTCCTGTTGAGGCAGCCCTGCCACTGCAAGCCAGGAGAACACCTCTGCTACTCTTTACCCCCAATTTGTTTGTACATGTACAATATCCCAAAGAATTTTAAGGGCACAAAGGCAAAATCAGGGATTGAAATAACAAAACAATCCGTAAAACAGTTGTAAGAGAAGCCTTGCTTATGTCCTGCAATTTAAAAGGAAAATAAATGCTGGCCAGTCTGCTTTTAAACATATAATTATGGACTTAAAAAACAACAGACTAGTACAAGAAGAGAGCACTGTTCTGCTGCATGTTAGCATTTCACAAATTATACCCAAGACTGTGTCCAATGCTGACGGCAGGCAAGCTGCCTACTTAGCAAAGCAAGTGTGTGAATATATATGCATCTTCTCAACTGGGACATGAAAGCATAATTCCTTTCTTTGGTGGCTACTTCATATATGAATCAATGCAGGATGCTACTGTGCTGGCCAGGTTTGCATTATCAAAAGGATATGCCTGCTTAGTTTAGCTGATTAAATATCCTCATCACCAACATTCAAAAACGTTTGTCTTGTGGGGAGGGAAGCCTTCTTCAGAGTGACACATCAGCTCTTGTTTGGGGAAATTTTTAAACCTGGTCCTATACATGAATATGGTGTGGTGGGAGGGAGTTTTACTCAGCTGTGTTCCTAAAAGATTGTTAAATTCAATTCACAACAGGAAGAAGTAAATGTACATGTTGTCCTTATCTGAATAGAAATCTAATTTACTTTCCCAGTTTACACTGCTAAAATTGATCTGTCTAGATAATTTGATTTTCAACATCTTGTTGAAACAAAAGATGGTTTGCCTATTGGGTTTGCCTGCCATACACCTTGAGCAAACAGCTGAAAGGAAGGTGAAATAAACATCCTGTAAGGACAACAGGTAACATTAGCCAACCTACGGCTTTAATCCTGTCTTTTCGGTACAATGCTTCCCTGGTTACTTTCCCACAAATAATGGACATCAGTACCAAGGGATATCGTGTTAACCATTAATGTTCAGCAGGATATACATGCAAAAAGAAAACCAACACAAGAGAGTGGTGAAGTTTTCTGAACAGAGAAGGGAGGCAGCCTTGTCTAATTGCCATAGCTTCTCAGGAGGGGATTCAAGTGTAAACTGTAGGGTCTACAGTGAAGGAAATCTGTCATACGCATAGCTACCCTTCCTATGTTCCGGGGCTCAGTCACAGAAAGAACCATCTCAACTCAAACCAGATTTGGACATTCAATCCTTCCAGGGCATTGAATCATGCACATTGCCTTGTGGTTGCATATAATGGATTGTCACATAATTCCTCAGAGAGAACTAAAGTTTCATTTCTATGTGCCCGCTTCCCTCTCTAATCCTCTCACACATACATACTTCATCATCTCTTTTGTTTCTGAAAGACTGGATAATTTCCAGGTGTCCTTAAGTTTCTACCTCAGTTTTGTTTACCTTCCCTTCATTTCTAGCTTCCTGGTTTGTATGTTTAGCCATGCAGGATAGCATGAGATTCACAAATACATAAGAACTGTGTATCTGAAGGAAGGGCTCTTTATGTTGTGTTCCCTGTCCTTTGAACCTAGGGCTAGTTCTTCTATAATAAAGAAGGCTTCTTAAACTTTTCCGCTTGCCACTCTTTTCGGACCAAGACATTTTAACATGATCCCAGGAACACAGGTATATAAAATGGGTATATAAAATCAAACATTCACTGATAACAAATCATCATTTGTAAGGATTGCTAAACAAGTTGATTTTCCTTTCTATGACATACAGCTGAAGCATATTCTGCAGAGTCCACTGTAAATAATGCACAACAGATTCATGTAAGTGTCTAAAACAGTCACTAAGGGATGTTCAGAAAACTTTTACTGTATCCAATTTTTTTGAGAATTCAACATTTAGCTAAAGGGACCTCATCTGGGGTCAGGACTCACACTTTCAGAATCAGTGTTCTATACAATCTAAAATCAATGGGTATAACTCACATTTTAAGTTCCCATACATTTTGAGCACACAGATCCCTACGGTCTCATAATCCCTAGTTCTTAGGGTGTGTCTGTCCACCCCTTCTGCCGCCTGCACGAACTAAACATCTCTAGAACTCCAATTCTTCTGAGAGCAAGTTATATTGTGGGATTCTCTCAGCCTCAGAGTGCACGAATTTAGCATTTCCTATAAAAGTGCTATCTCAATCTATTGTCAAGGGCTTTCATGGCCAGAATTACTGGGTTGTTGTATGCTTTTCAGGCTATATGGCCATGTTCTGGAAGCATTCTCTCTTGACGTTTCGCTTGCATCTATGGCAAGCATCCTCAGAGGTTGTGAGGTCTGTTGGAAACTAGGAAAACTGGGTTTATATATCTGTGGAATGCCCAGGGTGAGAGAAAAACTCTTGTCTGTTGGTGTGAATGTTTCCATTGGCCATCTTGATTAGTATTTGATGGCCTGTCAGGTTTTAGATGTGGCTTGTTACTGCCATGAAAATGAACAAAATCTGGCTACCAGTATTAAAAAAACTCTAAAATTATAACAGTAAATAAAGAACAAAACTCAAACACAGGGGAACTCCAGACAAGAAACAATCAGGGACAGCGAATCACCTCTCAACAAAGGATTTCCCCAGACAGTAACAAGCCACACCTAAAAACTGTCAGACCATCAAATGCTAATCAGGGTGGCTAATTGAAACATTCACACCTAGCTCCAACAGACAAGAGTTCTTTCTCCCACCCTGGACTTTCCACAGATATATAAACCCAATTTTCCTAGTTTCCAACAGACCTCACAACCTCTGAGGATGCCTGCCATAGATGCAGGCGAAACGTCAGGAGAGAATCCTTCTAGAACATGGCCATACAGCCCGAAAAACCCTCAACAACCCAGTGATTCTGGCCATGAAAGCCTTCGACAATGCTGTCAAAGTGCTATAAATATTTCAACATGTTTGAATTGAGGTATGTCAATTATTTAGATGGCTATCTATGCTGCACTGAGAATAAAGTTTAATTATAACAGTAAATAAAGAACAAAACTCAAACACAGGGGAACTCCAGAGAAGAAACAATCAGGAACAGCTAATCACCTCTCAACAAAGAATTCCCCCAGGCAGTAACAAGCCACACCTAAAAACAGTCAGATGCTCCTCTAGTCTGTTTTGTTCAGACCTCAAATGGAATATTGTGTCTAGTTCTGGGCACTACAATTTAAGAGAAATATTGACAAGCTGGAACGTGTCCAGAGAAGGGCAATTAAAATGATCAATTTTAGATTATTAATTCAGACCAATGATCTGGAGACCATGAATCCCTATGAGGATCGGCTTAAAGCACTGGGTGTGCTCAACCTGTAACCTCAAAACGTGGCTTTTCCGTTGCACTTTTGGAGAGTGATTTTAACATCTCCCTTTGTCATTCTTCCCTATAATGGGTGTCCTCATATTGCACTGTCTTTCATGAAGGATTGTCTCCACTACTCCATTCATGAATCTCTCTTACAAATATATATGTTTTATTTCTTTCTCATCCTCGTCGGACACTTCCCAAGTGCCTCAGAGGTAGTGAGGTGCTTCTCTCCTGACGTTTCGCCTGCATCTATGGCAAGCACCCTCACTACCTCTGAGGATGCTTGCCATAGATGAAGGTGAAATGTCAGGAGAGAATGCCTCTAGAACATGGCCATATAGCCCGAAGAAACCTACAACAACCCAGTGATTCCGTCCATGAAAGCCTTCGACAATACTTCCCAAGTGTCTATGACTCTGTGATGTATCGGCGAATAATGTGTGCAGATCCCAGTAAGGTGGCCTTTTGCAGCTGGCAGATGGTAATCTTGTCAGCGCCGATTGTATTTAAGTGCAGGCCAAGGTCTTTAAGCAATGCACCCAGTGCCGATCACCACTGGGACCATCTTTACTGGTTTGTGCCAGCGTCTTTGCAGTTCAATCTTTAAATCCTCATATCGGGTCAGCTTTTCCAGTTGTTTCTCTTCAATCCTGCTGTCACCTGGGATTGCAACATCGACAATACATACTTTGTTTTTTAACATTATTGTGAGGTCAGGAGTATTGTGCTCCGAAACTCTGTCTGTCTGAATCCGGATGTATTTCCAGATCCAGGCAAGGTGGCCTTTTGCAGTTGACAGATCGTGATTCTGTCAATGTTTATTGTTTCCAAATGCCGGCTGAGATCTTTTGGTAGGGCACCCAATCATTATTATTATTATTGACACAAAAAGATGAGTCCACAGCAGACACTGCTGACTGTTGTAGTGGATTATTATTATTATTATTATTATTATTATTATTATTATTATTATTATTATTGTCGAAGGCTTTCATGGCCGGAATCACTGGGTTGTTGTAGTTTTTTGGGGCTATATGGCCATGGTCTAGAGGCATTCTCTCCTGACGTTTCACCTACATCTATGGCAAGCATCCTCAGAAGTAGTGAGTATGTGAAATGTCATCATTTCAAAGTGCAAAAGAAAGTGGGATTAATGGGGTGTTGTGTCGTGGTTGCACAGCCCTAATAGTTAGATAGCTGCATGGTTTTAAAATTATATATTACTAGCTGTCCCCTACCACACGTTGCTGTGGCCCAGTCTAGTGATCTGGAAAATAAAGTAATGAGAAAGTGTTGGTTTCTAATATATGTAATTTCTTTATGCTTGTGAGTAAACAGTATTTCTTGTTGTTTCTTTGTCAGTGTTGATGTGGAGAGTGTCTGGTTTGCCTACTCTGGAATATGCAACATATCATAGTCCTTCTTTAAGGGTCTCTTTCAAATCTATAATACTATATCTGTGTGTGAGAGAGAGAATCATATCTATCTATCTATATTTATGACTGGATGACTCTTTATCAGGAGGGCTCTGATTACATTTTCTTGCCCTGGTGAAGAGAGTTGGACTGGATGGCCTTAAGTATTTTCTGTTGGTCATGGGGGTTCTGTGTGGGAAGTTTGCCCCATTTCTGTCGTTTGTGGGTTTCAGAATGCTCTTTAATTGTAGTGAACTATAAATCCCAGTAACTACAAATCCCAAATGTATATTTCCTCCGAACACCATCTGTGTTCATATTTAAGCATATGGAATATTCCTGCCAAGTTTGGTCCAGATCCATCATTGTTTGAGTCCACAGTGCTCTCTGGATGTAGGTGAACTACAACTCCCAAACTCAAGGTCAATGCCCACCAAACCCTTCCAGTGTGTTCTGTTGGTCATGGAAGTCCTGTATGCCATGTTTGGTTGAATTCCATCATTGGTGGAGTTCAGAATGCTCTTTGATTGTAGGTGAACTATAAATCCCAGTAACTACAACTCCCAAATGTCAAGGTCTATTTCCCCTAAACTCCATCTGTGTTCATATTTGGGCATATGGAATATTCGTGCCAAGTTTGGTCCAGATCCATCATTGTTTGAGTCCACAGTGCTCTCTGGATGTAGGTGAACTATAATTCCAAAACTCAAGGTCAATGCCCACCAAACCCTTCCAGTTTTTTCTGTTGGCCCTGTGTGCTAAGTTTGGCCCACTTCCATCATTGGTGGAGTTCAGAATGCTCTTTGATTGTAGGTAAACTATAAATCCCAGCAACGACAATTCCCAAATGACAAAATCAATTTTTTGAGTGGAGGACATAAATTGGACTGTTAGGTGTCTTGTGTCCAAATTTGGTGTCAATTCCCCCAGTGGTTTTTGAGTTCTGATGGTAGCACGAACTAACATTACATTTTTATTTATATAGATTATTATTATTGTTATTATTATTATTATTATTATTATTATTATTATTATTATTATTATTGAGGCTCCCATTTGGAAGTTGAAGCAGCAGTGACTGATATAATCACGCAACAGCGCCTCAAAGTTGTTTCAGGAGGGGGGGAGGAGAGGGGGGACCCCAAATGGTCAGGTTCCCCCCTGCAGCACCCACAAGTTTCCAAGGAAGGGTTGGAAGCGACCCCCAGGCAAGTCTTTGCTGGAGTGCCCTGAGGGCGGGCCAAAAAGGGGAAGCAGCGAGAAGCCTCCTGTCAATCAAACGGGATGGAGAGGGACTGGGGTAATAAGGCCGAGCGGCCCCTTTCAGAGCTTTCCTCCAAGGGGAACGGACGGCACCCTCCCTTTCCGACGGAGACCCCCCTTTTCCTCTGTCCACCCCCGCCTCCCTGTCACCCCCGCGGATAAGGGCCTCCCGCTCACCGAAGTAGACCTCCTTCTGGCACCGCGGGCACTTGGGCATGGYGCAGCCGTCGAGCGAGGTCCGTTGGCAGAAGAGGCGAAGGCGCGACTGAGGCGCAAAGGGCGAGGCCGCCCTCCAGCACTCAGGGCTCAGKCCACGCCTCGCCTCGGGCGGGAAAGAAAGGAAGGAGCGCGCGAGGGAGGGAGGGAGGGACGGAGAGGGTGGGCACGCGCCCCTCCTTGGCTTGAGCCAGCCTCGCGCTCCTCGTTTCCCTCCCGCCTCGAAGGGACCCCCGCGAGGCGAGGATTCAGGCGCCTCCTCACTCAGTCAGAGCCAGGGCAAGGAGAAGGAGGGCAGCCCGGCGCTCCTCTCTCAGGCTCCTTCCACACAGCTGTATAAAACCCACATTGAACTGGAATATATATGGCAGTGTGGACTCAGATAACCCACCTCAAAGCAGATATTGTGGGATTTTCTGCCTTGATATTCTGTGTGGAAGGAAGGGCCCTTTTAGACCACTTCCTCTTCTTCAACCTTGCTTTGACAGGACATCCTGCCCCACGTTTTGCTTTAGTTTTTTTTCAATGACTACCTCATTCAATCTCAACCACCTAGCTTCATCAGAGAGCTCTTTGCCCCACCCCAGTCATTCCACAGATATATAAACCCTTTTTCCTATTTCCAACAGACCTCACTACCTCTGAGGATGCAGGCGAAACGTCAGGAGAAATGCCTCTAGAACATGGCCCTATAGCCCGAAAAAACCTACAAGAACCTAGTGATTCCAGCCATGAAAGCTCTCTGCCCTGAAGTGTAATAGAGGCTCCTTCTTTGGAAGCTTTTAAACAGAGGCTGGATGGCCATCTGTCGGGGGTGCTTTGGATGCAATTTTCCTGCTTCTTGGCAGGGGGTTGGACTGGATGGCCCATGAGGTCTCTTCCAACTCTTTGATTCTATGATTCTGTGAACTAAACTCCTGACACGACAAAAAAACAAAAAACAACAACAGTGGAACTCTCTGCCCCGGAGTGTGGTAGAGGCTCCTTCCCTGAATGCTTTTAAACAGAGCCTGGATGGCCATCTGTCGGGGTGCTTTGAATGCAGTTTTCCTGCTTCTTGGCAGGGGGTTGGACTGGATAGCCCATGAGGTCTCTTCCAACTCTATAATTCTATATTGTGGGGGTTTTCTGCCTTGATATTCTGGTTTATATGGCTGTGTGGAAGGGCCCTTAGACCACTTCCTCTTCTTCTTCAACCTTGCTTTAACAGGACATCCTGCCCAACGTTTTGCTTTAGTTTTTTTTCATTGACTACCTCATTCAATCTCAACCAATTCAGAAATTTGTTGGGCAGTTTCGACAGAAAGGAGAAAACCATGAACACAAACCAAATCTTATTGCCATTATTTAAAAAAAGCACCAAGACAGTAAAGAAAGGAGAGCGACTAAAAATGTCTGGAGAACAAGGCCTATGAAGAGCGGCTTAAAGAGCTGGGCATGTTTAGACTGAATAATAGAAGGCTGAGAGGAAACATGATAGCCATGTATAAGTATGTGAGAGGAAGTCATAGAGAGGAGGGAGCAAGCTTGTTTTCTGCTGCCCTGGAAACTAGGATGCGGAACAATGGCTTCAAACCACAAGAAAGGAGATTCCAACTGAACATTACAAAGAACTTCCTGACTGTGAGAGCTGTTCAGCAGTGGAACTCTCTGCATCAGAGTGTGGTGGAGGCACCTTCTTTGAAGGCTTTTAAACAGAGGCTGGATGGCCATCTGTTGGGGTGCTTTGAATGCAGTTTTCCTGCTTCTTGGCAGGGGGGTGGACTGGATGGCCAATGAGGTCTCTTCCAACTCTGTGATCCTATGAAAGAACACCCCTGGTAAACCAGAGAACACCAGATGGCAAACAATCAAGTGCCAGTGAACACCTCCCAAACAGAGGGTGCTCCCAGGCAACAACAGCCAGGCTCTGCAAATACCCCCACTGATTGATTTTGCTGCTGCAAGGCTACTCCATGTTAAACCTCGCTAATTGCAACATTCACACTTGCCTCACACATACAAGAGTTCTTTCTCTCACCCTGGACAATCCACAGATATATAAACCCCATTTTCCTAGTTTCCAACAGACCTCACAACCTCTGAGGATGACTGTCATAGATGTGGGCAAAACATCAGGAGAGAATGCTTCTGGGACATGGCCATACAGCCTGGAAAATGCACAACAATCCAGTGAAAGCCTTCGACAACACATTCACACTTGCTTCAAAACCTCATTACATTAAGAGGGGAAAGCATGGTGACCTGAGAGAATTGTGCCCTTTGGAGTTCTGCCTTCCCATCAGACTCACACGTGGAAACTTAAGAGCTGGCAATACATTCATCTTTTACATTCATCACAAGGTCAGTATTACTTTTCTTTTAATCAGGAGACACAAAAGTATCTGAAAAGCAAAACTCCTTACATTAAAGGAGACTGACACCAGTTCAAAACCACTTATTTCCATAGAATCCTATTGTTCTGCCCCAAACCCCATAAGGTACAAGAGGCAGTATTCTAGGTTTAAACCAGTTCTTTCCATGGGATCCTATTGTTCTGCACCAAACCCCATAGGGTACAAGAGACTGGTCCAGGTTAAAACCAGCTAAAGACATGGATGTGGGATCAAACTTTCAATCAGTAACACAGTGCAATAATAGAATACAGAATGGTACAATGACAATTGGAATGGCCTCGGATTATGGCATCGGATTGTGTGATTCTAAATAAGTGGTTTTCATGCGTACTATGTTTTTAGTGATGCTATATATATATATATATATATATATATATATATATATATATTCATGTTGGCATCAAATTGTTGCCTTTATATGTAAGCCACTCTGAGTCCCCTAAGGGGTGAGAAGGCAGGGTATAAATATGGTAAATAAATAAATACATAAAATTATTTCCATGGAATCCTATTTTTATGCCCCAAATACCATAGGGTACAAGAGACAGTGATCCAGGTTAAACCATTGCTTTTCATGGGATCCTATTTCATTGCATTAAAGCCCATGGGATACAAGAGACTGCTGACAGTTGGGCAGTGAAACAAGACAAGAAACTTGATGGTTCCCACCTGTTTTTCAGTTGTAAACAGGAGAGTAAAATGTGATAAGAGGTCGGCACTCGGAACACAATTGCTGACCCATGTTCAGAGTTCCCTCCTTTCGGGACATTTTACCTACCATCTCCCATCACACTTTTGTGCCTCCCTCCCCTGCACCTCTTCTCACTATATCTTCCACCTTCTTCGTGATGGCGTGAGCCCCCGCCATGTAATTGGTCTGCACTGCGGCAGGGAGTTCCGCAGTTCCCAGTGGTCACCAAGGGAGAAAACGGATGGAATGTGCCCCAGCCAGCAGCTCAAAGCAAAGGACTGCATGAAGTTTTTCTTTCACTTTCCCCTCTCCCTTTTCTTTGTAACAAAATCCCCCAATAAAACACTTAAAATTGAAACTTTAAATCTTTTCCGCTTGTTACTTTGTGTCCCCTTTTACTGCTTGAAACTTTGCTAACACAAATAAACCTTTTTCTGAGCTCTCCGGGGAACCGTGAGCTCACTGGGGATGCCCTCCCGGCATCCCCAGGCCCCCGGATTTGCGTTAGCTAAAATCGTGGATACGGAGGTTTTCCCAATGGCCCCCTTTATCCGCCAAAACAACAATATATATTATTATATTTATTTCATTATTATCATTATTTGTTTTATTATATCGATGCATGAATTGCCTGTATACTGATGGTGCCTGTATTTTGTAGATATGAAATATGTGTCCCTCAATCAACTCCCCTGTGTCTTCGCCCCCCTGACCTCTTACCCCATAAAAGCCAGCCTAATCAGGAACTGCCTGAGGGAAAGAGCCCAAGCCTCTTTCCCCCAAATCACCCATTGATTGACTCATTTTGCATGGACAATACTGCTGACCCCCCCAATTTCGTCTTCGGAGCAAGGCCAACGAAGGAGGGTAGGGTCAGCAGAGCCTCGGAATAAAAGACTGATTGATTCACTCAGAAATTGTTGATCCTCCGGGCGGTCCGATTTCGACCCAGCTATTCATATCACTTGCCAGACCCATTAAGGACAGGAAAGCCTTTGTTTGACAAACATCACCCTCTTCCCGCCTGGGACAATGGCCCGCATTCCAGCGGGCAGGAAATCCCAAATCCCATCATCTTTCCCCCATTATCCGCGGCTGTCCCGCCTCCTCGCTCCTGATTGGCCAGAACCCAGGAAGCGAGCGGAGGGCGCCCACTGGCCCTCCCGAGGCAGAAAAACGCTCCCATTGGCTCCTGACGGAGGCGGGCTGTCAAACCTCCTCCCAGCTGTTCCAGCCTCAGCCAATCAGCGTGAAGCCGGCTGACAGGGGGGCGGGCGGGATTTTCAAACTGCTTTTCCTTTGTTTCACACTGTATAAAAATGCCTGGAAATTCTTGTACAGTATGCTTACAGTGGAATGATTCCTGTAATGCATCCTTTTCAGCTGAATCGCAAATAAACCTCGATCGCTGGACTTCTTCCGCCTCTGGTGACCTTATTATATTTTAAATATTTCGGCGCTTTTGGATTGGCTCCCAGAAAGGCTCACCAAGGTATCCAGGACTCTCTTTGGTGCGGTCCTTGGCTCTCCTCCCTGGAGGGGCCCCCTAAAAGAGCTCGATATCATTCGCACACCATTTCTTTACCACAGCCACCTTCTCTAGTTTACTAGATCCTCAAAACAGTCAACAGGAGGTAAGCAGGTGGGTGGTGGAAGAGATGAAGAGCAAGGTAAGGAAATAGCATGGTGGGGATTACAAGTCAAAGAAGGCAAGAGGTTGGAAAGACTGCAGTAATGGTAGTCAGCAAGTCAGTTTTCCTGGCTTAGATACAGATGATGATGAGGCTGCTCGCACAGCCCAATAAAAATAAATGTTTTGGTGTCTTGATTTTTAGGCCTGTTCCTCGGGTATTGGGGTGCTGGTTCAGAAAATTGCTTTGGCTAGATCACATCATCTCTAGTTTCTTAGATATGGGTATCGTGGTTTTCTATTGGAGAGCAGATGACGTCTGGTAGATGGCATATGTTCTGCATTTCAAAAACTAGAGCTAA